ATTGATATTATTTTTATATCATTGAATTTAAGTTTAATATAATCCATTATACATTAACGGTGCACTTGTAACCTACTGTACAACAGAGCGACAACCATTTGCATACAATTTTTTTTTATCATGTACCTATACAAAATTTCTACCCAATCTTAACCCATTTCATTTGTAATTTTGTTCATTTTTAAACTAATACAATTGTAACCGGAAGGTACCTAATCAAACCAAATACAGTATACTTTATGTATACATTTATGAATCAGTAGTGGGTATTCTAAAATCTAAACTACAACTTACAAGTGAGTAGAAACCAAAAAAGATACAAATTATTTTATTTCTAAAATGGTATGATATATTGTTTATAATAATAACTAAACATTCATAAATTGTTATAAAATAACAAATTAATAAATTTAATAAATTTAGATTCTGAGGTAGGCAGTTGTTGATTTCACAAACTAAGTTTTTTTTGGAAAAATTTTTTGAGACATAATCTTGATATATGTATTTTAACGATTCAGCTCCAATTAAAATAAACATATTATGCATTTTGGCTTTCAAATCGAAACAACAATAAACATTAAACACCTCAATTTATATGAGTAATATACTATCTTTCAATAATACTATCTTTATACAAAAATATTTGTTAGTAAAAAAAGTGATATATAATTTATTAGAACTGTACCTACTTATTATTTACCTAATAGGCTACCTATTAATAATAATAATTTTCACAAAAAACATTTTTTTGTAGAAATTAATTTAATGACGTACCAATAAAAAAATATTATCATAATTTATTACTCAATGGTGCCTTATATTTTATTAAGTAAAATATAAGTTATGATCTATATCTATAATATTAAAAATTACATTTCAGTACTTACATAAAAAAATGAAAAAAAATTCTAGTTAAATAAAAATGGAAATGGTACAAAATTATGTATTTTCACTAAAGATAATTAGTAATTACATTTTTACAACTTTAGATTAGTTGATAGAAATTAGTTGAATTTATAATTTAAATATAATACATTTATACATACAATCCTCAAAATGTATGGTAAATTCAGAGAAAAAAAGTCCTATCTAAGAGTCAAACTAGTTCCGTTTTAATTAGGGCCATTTTACGTAAGTACATTTTATAAATGTATTACAATTATTAAATGTATTTTTGGGATTGATTTCGAAAGTTTTGTGGAAATATATGGGGCATCAAAATCTTAGCATAGTAATAATACACAATATTAGTTTTTGGCAATCATGAATCAGTAAATTTATGGGCAATAATGCTGTGGCTGCTCAGGTCTAGGTGTACAGGTGTGCGAACACCACATAGATTAATATAGATATAATAGTAGGTATAAATGTATTTTAATTTTAATTCAATATCTGTTTAACTGTATTTATTCTATAATACAAAATTAAATTTAAAAACATTTTATATTCACTTAAACATGACAGTTATTATACTCCTAAAATATGGTCGAGATATACAATAAATACACATCAACTAGTGTGCAGGTCTGTCAGAACACCGTTAGTCCGTGTAAATAACACGGCCTTGAGTGGTGGGGGTTAACAAACTAAAGGGACCTCAGTGTGCAGCAACTTACTGCTACTTGTCTATGCTTACTGCTGCACACTCAGTTGCTTAACTGTAGCAATATCGCCGTATCAGCATTATTTTTTTAACTCCACCTGTATTTTCTATTTTTATTTTTATTTCAATCAACATTTTTGAATTTGGAGTTTAGTAAAACTTTTTTTAAAGAACTTTGTAATAATTGCATAAAATCTACTATAATCATCACGAGTCACCACTGGGTGCACCACCAAATATTTTACACATGAGCCGCTACTGAAATAATGGAACAATTTTTAATTTTTTAGCACAGGTATAAATCAATTTTTTCAAATGGTAACAATTATATTTTCTAAACTATTATGGTAGTAATTTTTCTAAAAATGTTTATGGTCAAATCATCTACTTTATTAACAACGGACCACCAAAATTAAGTAAGTTAATTTATAGTTTTAATTAAAATATCTTAATTTACTACAGCTAAATAATTGTATTTATATTTATTTAATTTAAATGGAAAGTTTAATAAAACATATGCGAACCATTTTTAGGATATATGCCTACAAGATAGTTAGCAAATGTATAATTATATTAAATTGAACATACAATAATGAAATAGGGACTTGTAAATCTTAAACTAACAAATTGTACAGGTGCTTATACAACCTAGCTTATACAATTTTTATTAGCAGACCTAGCTAGGGCCTTATTCATAGTCAATGCTTAAGAATAAATATTACTTAACCTATACTTTTGACTCAAATGGAATTCATAAACGAGACTTTGGCTTAAGAAAAGAAAAACTATTACTTGTTTTTAACGTTGGTCAATACTTACCTTAAGCATTGCTTTTAGTTATTATCACATTTTTTTATTTTTAAAATATTAAAATTAGCTTGAGCAATACTTATTCTTAAGCAACGCCTATGAAACGGCCCTTACTCTCAATAGTGGATACTTATAAATTCCCTAGCATAATTATTATGTGTGTGAAAATAACCCAATCTAATAGCAGCCACGTCTTAAAAATGTTCACTCCCCTAAGGTGTCCATTATTCAGAGGTTGTAGTATTGACTATTTATGTAAATATGGTGAGAATTACTTATTTTAAATCATAATTATTAAACATTGGAAATCCAATAGAATACCTAACTACATACAATATTAATGTTTTAAATATTTATTTCGTTTATTTAAAAAAAAACAATAAACAAATAAAATAATTGATCAAAAAAATTCTTTTCAAAAAAAATTGCTAATAAAAAATGTTGGATACCCAACCCCAGTTAGTACATCACTGATATCAAGCACTTGATGTCTTATTAAGTATTTAAATTTAAGATCGTTTAAATAATCAATTTATTATGAATTGACAATACCTAGTAAATAACTTGTAATTTTTTTATGGTATATTCAATTTATAAATAATAAGCTATGTTTGCCAATAATTTTGTAGGCATTTATCACAAAATTGAACAACAAGATTATGTTAATAGTATTTCATTTCCTATTTAGTTTAATAAATGATGTTAAAAAAAAATACTTGGCTCTAGTAAACTAAATATATTACAATTATTTAAATTAAAACTATTAACATTTTTTTTTAATATTATAGACCATAACTGAGACAGAGTTATAAACAAAAGTTGATGATTTGGCAGTTAGTAAGTGTTTTTCAGAAAAAAAATCACTACTATAATCCTTTACAAAATACTATTGATTTTGCTGTTGGTACCGTAAAATGGGGTGACTTCGGACATGCGGGGTGACTCCGGACAAAACCATATTTTTGTAGTTTTCTTATCATTTTGGATTACAAGTTTGATAAAAGTTGAAAACTGATACTCCACGTTCATATCTATTATTTCCTCCATAGAAAATAATATTTATTGATGACATAATATTATCATACCATATGTTATAGAGGTAAATACAAGATGATCTATTTTTAGATTTAAAAATTATCGAACTGATAACATCTGTAGAACAAGAACAAATAAACATATTTGATTGCGGTTTTCGGCAATCGGCTCGCAAACTTATCAGCTATAATTTACGTGTATTAAAATAGTTTATTTATTTATTCATACATTGTAGTGCTACATTCTTTAAATTTTTTCAAAACGCGGGGTGACTCCGGACAGGAAAATTACGATGCCCAGATCATACAAAAAAACTGTAGTAGGCCGTCCTTATCAGAATTACGATTATAATATAATTAAAAATGCAGCCAATGCCGTTAAAAAATGTCAATTCGATTTATAATTTACATACCTACCTAATATAACATTTGTTGATATTTTTATAAAAGTAAAAAATTATTTTATGTGAAGTTTTTCAAAATATTGAATAAAATACGTAGTATTTATGATAAAGTTATGTTTTTTTTTTTGTTTAATTCGTTACGTTTTTTTTAAAAATATCTATACTTTCCGAAGTCAACCATTGTAATTTTAACATCGGTTTTTAATGAAATTTAATACGTGTCCGAAGTCACCCCATTTTGCGGGTGACTCCGGACAGTTTTCAACTTTTAAAAAAAGTGTGAACTTTAAAGACTTTTATGATTATTCTTCTCCTACATGATTTCAACATACCTAAAGAATATTGCATTTTTTTTTCATAATTTTAGAAACAATATATTGAGGTTAATTTTTGAAAAAACGTCCAAATCTGTCCGGAGTCACCCCATTTTACGGTACAACTAAGTGCTAAAAAATATATAAAAAAATAAATTAACACTTTTTTTGTTTTATTATTATAATTCTATATTATTGATTCAAAATTATTAAAAACTATGTGTACAACTACATAAGATACACCCTGTATATTATGTAAATATACTACCGCCATGAACTATTTACAAACAGAAAGTTGCTACTATAATAGTTAACACGCTGAAATTATCATATTGAAACAATGTTGTAAGTGAAAAAAAAATATTGATAGTTTAGTTAAACATGCCATAACAGCTTAAATTATTTTATATTAAAACCAATTTTAATTACAGTACAATTATCACTTAATCCATTTCATTGTTATATAAAATCTTATCGGTTACCTCAAAAGAAGTCGATTTTTAATTCCCTGTTTATAGTTGATTAAATTTATTCACAAATTCATATATTTATGCTCACTGACACTGATGAAACAATGTTATAATGAGTTTATAAAGTATGGACAATGTCAAATTGAATGTTGATATAATTTTTCTTAAACATATTTAAATCCTTGCAAAAATATAATTTCTCAATACATGTCTTTGGATCTTTTAAGTAAAAAAAATTAACATTAATAAAATAGTTTAATAGTAATTTCAAATCAAATTCTTGTGATATTTGATTTGAAATGATATAATGTGCGTGTAAAAGTTTAATATTGAACAAATTACTTCCAGTTGCATTAGTCTGCAAATTATCCACCGTTATGCTCAGACTGATTATATGATGCAAATAATTGTTTTGCCCAGCTTATGCACCGCTCTTGCTTTGTAAGTAATTTGTACTAAATTGAAAATTACATATAAATATTGTAATTAATACTGAATTAAATAATAATTAATTAACTTATAAAATTAATACCCTTGCATTCAATAATCGATCTTTATTGCATATGAAAAACGTTGATTCCTCTGTAGGCAAATTATCAATGATTTCTTCATTTATATTTGGAACATCATACTTGGTTTGGTCTGTAGTTTCCTCACATTTTGGTTCAGATGATGAATTGAAGACTTTAAACACAAATCCTTCTTGATTGATCTGTTCAATTGAATTTTCTCTTTTCACAATATCCACTAAAATACGCATATAATATGAATAACATATAAACCACAATAAAAAACAATGTTTAATTGTATTTATTTAATGTTTAAACTTTAAATTTTGAGAAAAGCCAGAAATGTACACAATTGATATTTAGAAGGAGTTTAGTAAGGAACAATTTCCTACAACCTTATGAAATATTATAGAAATCTCAGAAAACATAGGGTTGTTCTACCAGAAATCTGCTAAAAGTAGCTTTGTGAATGAGAATACGTTTTTAAATCTGCAAAATGCCAAAATTTGTGTATCACAATTTTAGAATTTAAGAATAGTTATATATAAAATTATTCATGAGTTATAATCATTCAACATACTAATTAACAATTACCAATAAACTTACAAACATTGTTTTGAAGCCAGTTTACATCATGATCTTTTTTGTTAACAGTTTCAGATTTTACAACCAACGAATCATCTTGGAAGGTAGACAATGAATTAGATTGTACCCTTTTATTTCTTTCGTTATCATTGAATGTTTTAGAACTTTTAGATTGGTGATTTTTAATGGAAGAATTGGAGTTATTTGAATCATAACTAGTGGATGAACTTTTTCTATGATGTTTTCTTTTCGAACGACTTTCATCTTTGCGGTAAGAACGACTAGAATGTTTGTGTCTTGACGATGAATATTCTGATGAGCTGTTGGATCTATGTCTACGCGTTGATTTCTTATGGTGCCTGATTTTGAATTAAAATAATAATTAGACTTGATTTTAATTTCATGAATATAGTATTATATATTATATAAATGAACTACCTAGATTACTAAGATCTATGTTCTACGTTATTTATAATTATTATTCAACAATACTAACATAAATATAAAATGTCTAATAAATTTATTAAAATTATGAATTATAATATTTAAATGTTAGCATAAATGATACATTTTGTAGAAATTTCCAAAAGGGTAATCTTCATTGAATAATGTCTGTGACTGTGAAAGTACAGAGTACAGATATAAGTCCTTTGATCTAGGACATCTAGGTAATTGTGAATTGAAGTCAATATATCACTGAATATTCTACTATCTTATAATAGAAGATCTTGACCCCGGACATTCAGGATTTTTTTTTAACTATTACTGATTCAGAGACAGTGAAAATGTGATTACACAATTATTAATATCCATTTTTCTTAAAACAATAAATTAACAATAAGTTTTCATGAGCTATTGAAGTTAAAATTTTGATGTATTTCATTAACATTTATAAAATAAGCAAATCAATTTGTAATTAAAAATTTTTAAAAAATGTAATATTCATACTTAAAATTTTAAAACTTAACACAAGGTTCCTCATAAGTTGTTATTGTTGGAATTAAAAAATATTAAAGATATATAGGTACAATTTGTTTTTGTATTTCATTGCAGCAGAACGGATAACCTACTTGACTTTTATGTTTATATATTTATCAAAATAATTTGAAGATCCATACTAAAACTATTCATAAGTACAATTTTTAATGTTTTACATTTTTAGGTATAAAGTAGGAATTTTTTTCTTTATTGTACACTAAAATAGTAAAATGTGTTATTTTCTATTTTTAATTAGATATACACTTTTGACACCAAAATACCTTGATCCAGATCTACTTGAATGATTTTTTCTGGAATATCTTGAACTATCTGTTGATGAAGAACTTGAAGACCTATAAATAAAATATCGGTTAGTAATAAAACTAACAAAATAATACTTTAAACTATTTGTTTAATAGAGAATAAATTATTTCTATATGTTTCTATACATTGTTACTTATATTCTTATTTCAGTGAATATAATTGTCATAGTTATGAGAACTGAAATATTTATTTTAAGTTTTTTATGAAGAAGAAAAATTATATCTAGAGGTTGGTGAACCAAGTGTATAAAAATGTTAATATACTATAATTTTACTTAAAATTAAAATATTGATGGTCTGATAAAATGAAATATTGATACAAACATTTATAATTATAATTTATAATAAGACACTTCTACAATACTCAATTTTATACAAAAAAAATTGTCTATTAATGTTACATTATAATCTGTATGTTGTATAATTAAATAATAGTACCAATATACTAAATTACTAAATATGTTTAAATGATCTTGCTATTACAAGATTTCAGTATATCTAGAGTCTATTTTAGAAGCTAATATTAACTTCCTTTAATACAAGTATATTGATTAAAGAAGGTAGGTAAATCTAAAGGAAATATGTAATTGTGAATACAGTTAAACCAATCTGAACAGACACCTGTATATAGCGGACACCTCTCTCTCTCTCTTGAGGGTACAAATATGGTAATATACCCCCCAAAACCAGCCATAGTATGTTAGCTACTAGAAAATATGACATACCTCACATATTCTTATAAATGTATTGTTTTTTTTTTTGTTTTATTATGGGAAAGTACCAGTGAATTGAGTCATTACGATAAACAACATTAACGGTAATACAATACTATAATACCCATTATGATAACTGGTAAATATTCACCAAGACAACTATAACTTACTTTTTCTGGGTTAACGTAAAAACAACATGACATATAACAATATTATTTTGACGTTTTAATACTTGACAACAGTGGCATAAACTGGGGGTCGCAGGGGTCGCATTTGCAACCCCTGAAAATATCATAGGGTCGCAAGAGTATCTTTTTGCGACTCCAAAAACTCACAATATCAGTTTTCAAAAAATTGAAATATCAATATAATAATAAATTAACTAATCTATATTTTGAGAACCAATGTTCAACTTTGTTTTGAAGCACTGGAACTATTAATATATTATTATATCCTTTCCACATTTATTTATAGTTTTGTTATCAATCATTTTCTATTATTATACCAATATGTATATTTATTGTGATCGACCGACTCGAGTCTCAGTGGCAGCAGTTGGTGAAAACGTATTTCATGGTCTAAAATTATTATATTTTGTTTGTTTTACACATGAATTTAATTTTTACACTTGTAAGTTGTATTTATTTGTTATCCGCTGTCGCTTTAAAATTAAGCGTTTCAACAGCTTGTTACAATGGACAAATTTCTTGTAAAAATATCGAAGTCGAAAGTAAGTTCATATTTTTACTTTAAATTCATCTAATTGTTTAGTACACATATTTAGTATGCATTAAGTTAAAAGTAGCCCTTAAAATATATCACTGATTTATATTATATTAAAACTTCAATTTTGACAAATACAACAATATCATTTGTTAAATTACAGATCAAATATAAACTTTATATTTGATCTGTAATTTAATTTTTATTATTAATTATTAAGGTAATATTATATTATTGAGTAAATTAAATTTATTTTGGTATATATTTTTTTATTATTTTGGTACTAATTGTTGTACCTGCTTATTAGAAAAATACTAAAACAAATGCCGAGAAAAATGTTAGTGTATCTGAAGAAAACCTCCATTCCGTAGGAAAAAGATCAAAAATAGTAAATATAGTAATTTCATATCATATATTTAGTTTTCATATACAATTTATTGAAAATTGAAATTAATTTAATATCATAAAATATTTAAGGATATTTTGTTAAATACCTCTACCTTAATTTAAAGTGAAAATTCTGTAACTAGTTGTCTACGCTAAATAAATAATAGTAAATGTAATTAAAATGTGTGTAAAGTAAAAGTATAAATATGTATTTAAATCATGTGTGTATTAATTTCATTGATAATTTTAGGATATTGTACCAAATACCAAGGACATAAATCAAATTCAGAATGCTGTATCTAGTGATGTAGTTACATTAAAATCAGATCAAACTACAAATACACTATTGGTAAATATAAAATATTGCATACAATTTTAATCTTTAAACCAATGATATAAGTTTTGATTTTTGACTAATATCTACATGTAATCACAAAACATGAAACAAGTATTAAAACAATTATAATTTCAATTTGTAGAATTTTAAATGTTGTTACATAAAATATAGTCAATATTCACTCATTTTTATACTCTTTGAAGTACCCCTTAAATATATTACTGATTTACATTATATTAAAACTACAATTTTGACAAATAAAACAATTTATATTTGATCTGTAAATGACTGTAATTTAATTTTTAAATTAATTATTAGGTAATATTATATTGTTGAGCAAATTTAATTTAATTTGGTATACCTTTTTTATTATTTTGGTACTAATTGTTGTACCTGTTTTTTAGAAAAACACTAACACAAATACTGAAACAATTGTTATATTATCTGAAGAAAACCTCCGTTCTCCAAGAAAAAAATCAAAAATGGTAAATATAGTCAATACTTAATTTCATATCATATATTCAATAATCATAAACAATTTATTGAAATTATATTTATATTTATATTAATATCATTAAACATTTTAGGATATTTTTTAAACACTTCTACCTTAATTCAAAGTGAAAATTCTGTAACTAGTTACCTACGTTAAATAAATAATAATAAATGTTTTGGTCTATGTAATTGTCAAGCTATCATAGTTATACTAAAGTTTAAAAATAAAAAAAAATAAAAAAATTTTTTGGTTAATTTGTGTGAATAGCGGTGTGAAGAAAGTTTTAACAACACTTGGAATGAAGTAGACATTTTAAGAAAACAATATAATGTTTCTTCTCCTATACTTCCCAGAAAGCAAAAAATACCAGCTAAACTTGGTGGTGGATTGAAAGAGGTTGAAAATACTACCATAAATAAACATTATAAAATAAATATTTATTTTGCAGTACTGGATAATATTATAAATGACATAGGTGAAAGGTTTGAAGAAAATAATGTATATGTTTTAAACTGTATGCAAGACATACTCTTAAATGATATGCCAAATAATAATTCTTTTAAAGAAATAAATAAAATGTATGGTTTTGATGAGGATAATCTCAAAGCAGAAACAACAATTTTAAATAGAATGTATAAAACTGTACATGATCAAAATAATGTGCAATCAAAAATCAATTTCATTCCATCAGAAAATTATAAAGCTGGATTCCCAACATTAACAAGTTTGATACAATTATTTATTACTATACCAACTAACTCCGCATCATGCGAAAGAAGTTTCTCATGTTTACGTAGGTTAAAAACATATTTAAGAACCACAATGGGACAGTCAAGATTAAACAGTCTTGGAATTTTGCAAGTCGAACAAGAAAGATCATCTCTAATAGATAAAGTTGAAGTAATAGATAAATTTAGTGCTGCCGCAGAATGTAGAAGTCGCCGATTACTACCTACTGCAGTAAATGAAAAAACCAACTAATATTTTAAATCTGTACCTATAATATATATATAGGAATTATATATTATATATTCATTTTTTTAATCGGTTTTGCCCTGTATTCTTCTCTATATATATATATACTATATAGGTATTAGGTATTATAGTATAAAACAAATCTAAATGGCAGCTGTTATTTGAAATATAAATTTTATAAAATAAAAGAATTGTTTTTTTTATGTATTCATATATTGTTTAAGAAAATTATACATATTTTATTGACAGTAAGTAATTATATACCCTATTTATAGGTGTATATACATAATATAATATACCAATTACCAATAGACACAATATGTGTTAAAATAGTTTTGTTGAATTTATGTACAGATTGTAATGTTAAATTTAGAATAAAATAAAAACCTTTTAGGGGGGGGCAAAGCCCCCCACAAGTCTGTCCAACCTAGAAACTGATTGTAACCCTAACAATTTAGCCCAATTTACGCCACTGCTTGACAATGATGATCATCGGCAATATATTAAGTCTTAGTTTAATAAATTGTAATTAGTACTACACAAGTATCAAATTTTCATAAAAATGTTATTGTTAAAAAGTAAAGAACACTTATAAATTACACAAATGTTTCACAGTTTTTCACTTATTAAAACTTATGAATTCTGACACTGGTGAGCATAATAATAAATATTAAAACATTTATACATGAATATGTATAATATAATTTCTATCTTTCTAACATATTGTACATTAACTATGTTTAATTTATTTATACTGATATTGATTTTATCTAATAATACTACATAATGGTAGGGAAAAATAATTTTCTTAATATACTATTTAAAAAAGTAATATAATACCTATATGTATATAAAGGGATATATAAATATATATAATATATTATTTATAAATAATAAAAACTATATTTTAAATTATAATATTATTTAAAAGTTCTCAATTAAAAAAATGTAGTTTAAAATTCTTAACATTTAGTAATCCTCTCATAGTAATATTGAACATTCAGAACATTTAATGTATATAAATTATAAATATAACTTTTAAAATGTTCAAACCATAAATGTAAAGCATTAAGAAAAATATTGTATTAAAGAGTAGGTAGGTATGTAATAAGCAGACCAAAAAATGATACTCTACAAGAAATGGTTTTATTTGAATGTTAGTGTCCATACATGTTTGTCTTCTGATAATATGTATTTAAAAAGCTTGATATATTAATCAATATTTTAATTAAATGATAAAAACCCATAAGACACCTTTTTTATATTTTAAAATATTACCTATTGTACAGATAAAAGAAAAATGTACAATTACCATTAACGCAGAAATATAATAAACATATTTAAACAGAAATTAATAATCAGTCAATACTACAAGAAAAATAAAGTTGTGAACATTTAAATTAAAAAGTGGTGACGCTCACCTGTGCCTTTGGTTATAATAACGACTATAACTTCTAGTTCTGTCACGCGAGTTTGAATCACTCGAATACTTACTCATAATTATTCCAGCTCTTATTCCTGCAAATTGAAATAGACACTTAATTATTTGAAATTTTATTTCAATTATATTTATTCACTAATTGATAACAAGAGCTAATTTATAAATAATAGATTTATTATTATCATACATGATAGGTAATTGATTAATGAATAAAATTCAAAATATATTTATAATATGTGCATGAGTAAGATTACATCAACAACACAGGGACATATAATTAACATTTGTATGGGGGAGGCGGAAAAGTCAATGAAATAAACTTAACTTTCTATCTAATGTAAAAAAAAATATAATTTTAAAGAATTTACCTAAGTGTAATGCCTTTAAAAAAAAGGTCAATATATTCTATGGAAAAATAATTTTAGGTGAGACTCAAGCCTCCACTCCCAAATTCAAGGCCTAGTTACTGCTGTTTATGCAGTTTTAATCACTATTCAATAAATTCAAATTATTACAGTTTAAAACTGCCTATAATTTACATACAAAATTAAAATATCTTAAAAATGCCAACATAACAACACAGGTAATTTTCTTAGCAAAGTTTGATAATAGTTGCATTCTAATATTAAAAGTAACAAAATAAGGTTGGTTCTGCTATTCGTCAATATGCTAAGTATTACACGTAGAATAAACGAGAGAAAACAAATGGTGCTCTGATATCCTCTTAATATAATTTAAGTATAGTACAATTTACCTTATCAAAAGACAAAAGCTTTAGAAAAATGTATGTAAATAACATGGGAGCTATATTATGCAAAAGCGTCTAATATGATTTTCTAAAAACTTAATGATTTGTTTTTAGGACCTCTAATAAAACAATGCAGACAACACATACTGGCGGTGAAAGCAACTTTGTAATCTTTTCTGATATGATTGATTCAAACATTATTGGTATTATACAAAGTACACAGTTGGGGCAATAATTTGTTGTACCAGATACACACCATTCTTTGAAATGGCAAAACTTGACTTCCGAGAAGTTGGAAAGGAACCAGTATTTAGAGATAGAATAAATGTACATATAACAAGGGAACAGCTAATATTAATTATAAATAAAATATTGATTTAGAACATCAGTAAAATGTAAGGCCATATAATATAAGTTTAAATCTAGTAGCTGGATTATGTGAAAATGAGGCTGTAACCGATTCTATAAAAACTCTTTGAATCAATAGAAGTTATCAAGTATCATGTCTTGAGTAAGTTTCATATCATTAATCAATTGTATTATTTAACTAAGTTCATCACAGTAGTAATAAAATCCTTTTCAATTAATTTAGTAACATTATCATAAGAAGCATCCGTGAATAAAAATATAAATAATTAAAGTAAGTTATAGATTATCAACAACAAAATAAAAATGTACGTATAAAACACAAGATGAAAACACAACTGATTCCTTGTTCATTGTTTCAATATATATATATTTAAAGCAAGTTATGAGCATTTTGAAAATTTAATATTTCACATTGGTGAATAACTTGCTTTAAAATTAAAATATAAGCCATTAGAACAAAGTTGATGATTTCATCTTTAAATTTTAAAATAGGTAAATTTACAATAATATTAAAACTAACAACACAAAATGGATTTTACAGAACACAAATCTGCCATGTTGTACGTTTATAAGATGAGGGACGTCATGAAGGCATCATGTCCTCTTTCCCACCACTAAGAATTCAAATACTACAAGTTCAAGGTCAGGTAAATTTAACTAAGAAACGCATAGTTATGTTAATACGATTGAATAATTTAACTACATTTATACTACTAGGTATTATGTAAATGCATTTACTACTTTAGCAGACACTTAATTTTCAATTTATGAAAAGTATAGGTAAATTATTTTAGTGTCTTACCCACATCCAATTCCAAGCAGTAGGTAAATCTTTGATTCGACTCGCGCAGTCACGTATAACAAGAACGAAATTCGAAATTTGAAAAACAAACGCTTTATAATGAACCTAGGTACAAATATTATGTACAATTAAAAATTTCAAAACATTGTGAAGTACGTAATCATTATTCATTATAACCAAAATATTAATATTGATAACAGCTCTGTGGAGGTCAAACGCAATAATATAATATTAAATAAATATTAGAATATTCGTAATATTTTAACTCCGGCGGAGGTAATTTATCTTAACACGGTATTATAATAGGTAACTATAGTAATTAACAAAATATTGTTAGTATTGCTAGTACTCTTGCCCAGATATATTTTAGTTACCTAATGGCGTGGTTTGCACGGTGCGTAGTACTTTTACTTCAGTACTTGTCATTAGAACTTGTTACTCGCACAGTCGCCCTTTAATACATTTCGTGTAATTATGTAAACAAGTAAAAATAGTGCTCTTAGAGTCTCTTAGAGTCTTAAAAACAATTAAAGCATTAGTAAAACTGGAAAGATGAGTGAATAGAACCACGTTCAATCGACAAGTGTCAAGTGACAAGTACTAATGATAAGTAAGACGTATAGGGATACGCAATACGCATCGTGTGAACTGAGCATAACACGAACATAATTTTGTTTTAATTAATTTTTTTATATGAATTTATTTTTTAGTCTGAACTATTAGAATGATTGCAACAAAACCAAAAATTAATAAATATAACAACATTATTAGGCCCCTAGCCGGTACATATTATTATCATTTATCTGCTAAGTGCTAATGGCTTTTAATAAGAAATTGACAATATTAATAGGTATTATAAAACGCATATAAAATATGTAAAGATTTCTTTATAGGTGTATGGTATTTTAGACATTAGTAAGACATCATTATAACTTCCAACTATAGTTCAGAAACCGACAATTATTATTGCATACGATTTTTTACCTAATATATGAGAAGAAATCTAGTAGGTAGTGTTATCTGTTATTCTTATATAGGTATGCAAACTGTAATTAAAGCGTTTCCAAATGTTTTGAACACTGTAGGTCTAAATATAATATAGTAATTAATACCTAGGTACCAATTATACAGTTCTGAGAATCTTAAAAGTTGGGTGTGTATTATTTAACCATCAATAATCATTATTGATTTTGTATACATTTATTTTTAAAATAATAAAAATATAGATAGGTACATAATTACAAATATTCAGAAAACTAACTTAGAAATTATTATTTTGAGGTGGCTTTAAATATTAAGCCCCCCTAAGCCCTCCTCAATAACCATCTATAATATTATGCTTTCTTATCTTCCAGGAATATATGACAATATTTAAATATCTACCAATATTGGTACCTAATATATTATATTATTAATATTATTAATATCTAACAAACATGTATATTTTTTTATAAATATACAACAGAACATTTAACATTATAAATTTGAGCTAATAGTCCAAGTAATTTTCCATACTTTCCTTGCCAATTAATTTCTGTATGTTGTTGACGATCAAGGTTTATACTTTATGGATTATATATAATCTATAAGCCATGATTGACAATAGCTACTTTTTTTTTTATAGATTTTAATATCATAATATTAATAATAATACAATGTAAAAATAAAAATTTCTTTCCATGAATTTCTTTCTTCTTTATCATAACTTATCATAGACAATCCAATTCCAACTGATTAATTTTCATTAATGATAAATAATATCCATCATCTGTGTGACTATGTCAATATATTCAAATCATCGTGAACAATTCATCGATTCACACAATTTGCTGTCAGACGTTAGTGCAGCAAGAAAAGAACATTCCTAAGAAGATTAATGACGTGCAGTGAATACTAAATTTGTATTTTATTTTCAAGGTATGTTAGTAAATAACAATAATTTGTATGTGTTCTAAGTAATACTCTTTCGACATTTTTTTTTTTTGTTTCGTTTTAAATTGAATGATGTGCTATTGTGCTCCCCAAATTCTACTTCCAAATCCTATGTAAATGTATTCACTAGCTTGACGCTTCTAATGCTCGATTTCAATTTCCAATAACATAATTATTTTTTATGTCAGAAAAAATCTTAATTTAGCACAAACATCTGTACTTCACATTTATTTTATTTACTTAGGTTAATTTTAACCGGGTTTAATTAACACGACCGTTATAAGAATACATTACCTATCGTTCTTAATAGTTTGTCCTTATTAGAAAATACATAAATTGTATTCACCAAGGGCCAGTTTCTTTATCAGAAAAAAATATTTCTAAGTAGGTTTAATTCTAGTTTCGCTCTACGAAAAATTATTTACGCTACTCAATAACTATTGCAGGACACAGGTTCATTAAAAATATTTCAATTATTTAATAATATAATAATATCATGTATGATCGTGCTGTCAACGACTGGTATTTTTTATCCAGATAGATATTTTTCATAATATTATTATCGTCTATCTATGTTCGATAATCGATGAAGGTAGGTAAAGTATCCAAGACCAGTCCTGCATCCTCATTATCTATACGGAGACCATGATTGATAATTTATACACATAATATGGATTGGTACGGCAAACTACACCAAACATACTTGAAACATACGCTTTTTAGCCAACGTAACGCCATAATGGAGAGAGAAACGATGATTGTCAGTCGCATAGAAGCTTCTGAGCAATAAAGAAACTAATATTAAACAATAGTGAAAAAGGATGCAATTATGTTTCTCCGTTACGGTTAAAAATGTTATCAGTTGTGTTGGCTAACATATTTTTATATAATGATGCATCCATAAGTTTAATAGTTATCAATGACAGAAACCTAGAAGCCTGTATATTTATAATTTATATTTAATATTTTCATGTTATAATATACCTACTGGCTACTACTATTTATAATAATTATTATATTATGGTAAAATGTAATTTACTCGTTTTCCTTATCTAATTTTAGAATATTACAATGGCCGATGATAAACTATGTAGAGAAGATTTTGATGTAAGTATTCTTAATAATATACTAAATAAACTAGCAGATAACTATAGTCTATAAGCCATTTAGGTAAAAAAATTCAACAACGAATTGATTAATTTGTTG